CCTCCGTGAGCCCCTCCCCCGGCCCCGCCTTCCCCGCAAACCCTTGTGCAGGCCCCGCCCTCTTCCCCACCCCGTCTGCTGGCCCCGCCTCCTCCGGGAGCCCCTCCACAGTCCAGGCGCTCGCTGCCCTCGGTGCACCACCTTGGCCCCTCCACGCCTCTTACGTTTGGTTCTGTCCCTCCTCTTAGAACCGGCTCCTTCCTCTCAACCCTGCCTCCTGTGCACCCCTCTTCCTGCCGGGGTCCCCAGGTTCCCCACCCATCCATCTGTCTCCATTTGGGCTGAGCAAATTGTGCAGAGGCCGGCTGCTGGGCGTGAGAGGGTCCTGCTTCCTAGAGCTCCCTGCCCGGTGGGCGAGTCCCTTTGTAAGGGAGGGTAACAGGCTCGGGGATAAGTCTGGAATGAAGGAAACAGTATTGCTAAGCTTCATGGAAGGAGTGCTGCGGTTTTCACCCTCCCTGCCGCGTCTGCTGGCAGGATTGCGCGGGGCTGAGCTGTGCCTTTCTCTCAGAATGTCCCAGGCTTCTTCTGATGCAGAATATTGGCTCCAACTGTTGTCCTTTAAACTTTTGGAAAGTAGTAACATCTTGTCATGGGCCCTTCTTTTAACCAGAGGTGGTAGGGCTTCAGACCTCATCCATCTAAGCCAGTGGTCGGCAAACTCATTAGTCAAGAGCCAAATATCAACAGTACAAAGATTGAAATTGCTTTTGAGAGTCAGATTTTTAAAAAAAATATATTTTTACTGATTTCAGAGAGGGAGGAAGGGAGAGGGAGAGAGAGATAGAAACATCAATGATGAGAGAGAATCATTGATTGGCTGCCTCCTGCACACCCCCTACTGGGGATTGAGCCCGAATTGCAGGCATGTGCCCTTGACCGGTATCGAACCCGTGACCCTTCAGTCCGCAGGCCGCTGCTCTATCCACGGAGCCAAACCGGCTAGGGCAGAGAGTCAGATTTTTTAAACTTAAGCTATATAGGTAGGTACATTGTTATTAACTTAATTAGGGAACTCCTAAGGCTTAGGAAGAGCCACACTCAAGGGGCCAAAGAGCCGCATGTGGCTCGCGAGCCGCAGTTTGCCGACCACGGATCTAAGCCTTCAGTGTGCTGACTGGGCTGAGGGCAGCAGACAGGCAAGTGATTGACTTAGTGACTCGGCATCATCCTGTTGATCCTTTTTGAGATTTTCCTGAGGATGCTTACCCAGTATTTCAATTACCCAGCAGTCTTAACTGATAGGAAACCCTAATGTATGTGTAGATAAAACCTCCAGTCAATGAATAGACTTCAAGCCACTGCACTGAGTAAGTACTAGTGTCACTTACTCAGAAGATGGTGGCTGACACCGTCAGTTTTTTGTAGTCAGGCCTCCCTGGGCCCCTGAACCCAGCTGCACCATTTGCTGTGAAGTTTGGCAAAGAAACTTCCCTTATGTGAGCCTCCGTTTTAAACTTCTATACAAACAGGTGACTAACCCTATCACACAGAGTCGTGATATGGATTTGTTGAGATCCTGCTGATGAAGGGGAAAAAATCACTTCTAGGGTCCTCTAAACAGTGGGATCTCAGCACAAGTGAGCTCCTACTCTTCCGATTGAAGTCTGCCCTGTTCAAGCCAGCAAAGAGCCTGATATGTTTGTTCCTCTCTCCCAGGCACCATGACCACCCTGGATGATAAGTTGCTGGGGGAGAAGCTGCAGTACTATTACAGCAGCAGTGAGGATGAGGACGACCACAAGGACAGAGGCAGGGGGGCCCTGGCCGGCAGTTCGATGCCCGTAGGTGCTAAGTTGGCAGGCGAAGGCATCTCAGTTAACACAGGTACGGGAAATCCCTGAGCTCTGGGAACAGGTTTAAAAATGTCGGTTAAATATGTATCCGTGGCCGTCTCCTGATGAATTCCTTCTATCTCCAGTCCACTTCCAGAGATTTAATGTTGTCATTTCACCGTGCATACTTCTAGCCATGTTACTGCACAGTACAGATATGTATGCATAGCACCACGGCAGTGAACACAGACTGGCCTGCGTTTGAGTCCAGCTTCTCAAATTAGTCTTTGTTTGATGACACGAAAGTCATAGGCATGAGTACATTGGTAGTATAAATTCCTAGAAATGGCATATTTACATTTTTTTTTTCATTTTAGTAGTTCCAAATTGCTGTCAAGTTGAGGTGGCACTGTGTTATAGTTTAGCCAGGAGGACAGTGTTTCTCCATACACTTGCCCTCCTGCTGTGTTCCCACACTTTTTGATCGTTGCCATCCGGATGGATGACAAATGGTAACTCATTGTAGTTTTATTTTTTCTATTTTTTAAGAGTGATATTGAGCCTCTTTTCATAATGTAAGGGATATTTTCATATTCTTTGCTCATTTTAAAATTGAGTGCTTGGTCTTTTTCTTCTTAGGGAGATATATATATATATATGTATGTATGTGTGTATGTATATATATATATATATATATATATGAAATTAATCTATAGTATGAGGTATAAATACTTTTCGTTTGTCTTTTGACTTTGTGTGTTTTTTTTTTCCTGGCAAGAAATATTTGTTTTTATGTACCTAAAAGCATTATTTTATAGTTTCTTAATTTTGTTTCTTACTTAAAAGGCCTTTCTTCACTCTAGGATTATAAAAAACTGCCCCATGCTTTTCTTAATATATTTATGATTTTATTATTTCTTACACTTATAAATTCATCCAGTGATTTGTCTTTTACTGTACTATGTCACACTGTTTTAAAATACTGTATTATGATATGTTTTAGTATGGTAAGGCTAGTCCCTCCTCAGTACTCTTCTATGTCATTATTTTTCCTAACTTTTACTTTTGTGTTTTTCCAAAGCAAATTTAGGAGCACGCACACATATGTGTAATCATGTATTTTCACTGGGAATGCATGAAATAAGTAGATTAATTTAGAGGTTCTTGGCACCCTTATGTGATGTTGGGTCACTCTAGTCAGAAATAAGACATTGCCTTTCCATTTATTCAGGTTTTCTTAGCATTTCTCGGTAGTATTTTCTTTACATAGATTCTTAGCTCAGTGGCTTGTGTATTTCTCAGCATGTTGCATGCTCCCTGTGGGGTCAGCAGCAGCTCTGCTTCTCCTTCACATGTCCTCTCCGAGGAACTAGCTGACAGACATGCCTTTTTCATGACCAAGCGCAGGGAGCAAGAGAGGGCTGTTGGGGACATGTAATGGCTCATACATATTTTGCTCAGAATTCATTGGCCAAGAGAAAGTCACATGGCCAAGCCCACATCAGCTGGTTGGGGAGGCATGTCCTCATTCCACAGAGGCACAAGTCACATGGCAAGGGGCAGGGTTATATATGTGGGGCAGGGAGGTGTGGGGGTAGCTTGAGTAACAGAACAACCTGCCATAATGTAAAAATTCAGATTGTACAGAAGTGTAGAAAGGTTCCCTTAGATCAGCCGTGGGCAAACTACGGCCCGTGGGCTGGATCCGGCCCATTTGAAATAAATAAAACTAAAAAAAAAAGACCGTACCCTTTTATGTAATGATGTTTACTTTGAATTTATATTACAAACACTCCATCCATGCTTTTGTTCCGGCCCTCCGGTCCAGTTTAAGAACCCATTGTGGCCCTCGAGTCAAAAAGTTTGCCCACCCCTTCTCTTAGATCCTACTACCTAGAGACAACCACTATTAACATCCTTCTAGTCCTTTCCCTATGAACATACAATATGCACACACATATATTGGTATCCATAAATATTTATACATACACATAGTTCTTTTTCTATATTGTTCTGCATTTGCCCCCCCCACCTTTTTTTTTACCTAATATATTTGAACATCTTTCATGGCAGGGAACAGAGCTACCTCTTTCTAAGAGTTCCTATACTTTCCTTTGGGTAGATGAATCATAATTTATTTAACATCAATTAAATAACGCATCTCCTAACGTTGGACCCTTAGCTTGGCCCTTTAAGTATGGCAAACTATGCTGCATGGACATCATTGTGTGTAGACTACGCTGCCCTCTGTGAGCGTCGCTGTGGAGTCGATGGAGGGAGCTTTAGACCGAAGTGAACTGGTCCATAACTCCTTGCCCATTCTTCTTGGTTACCTCCATGTTCACCCCTAACTCAGGTCCGAAAGGTGTGATCAATGACTGGCGCCGCTTCAAACAGTTGGAGACAGAGCAAAGGGAGGAGCAGTGTCGGGAGGTGGAAAAGCTGATCAAGAAGCTGTCAATGACTTGCAGGTCCCATCTGGACGAAGAGAAGGAGCAACAGAAACAGAAGGACCTCCAGGAGAAGATCAGTGGGAAGGTAATTCCTAGAACCCTGGCTCTTCTCCAGAGCTGCCCTGGCGGCTGCAACTGGGCTTAGTGATTGAGGAGGTATCGGGTGTTTGATGTGGCCTCCAAGGAGCTGCCATGCTGGGGAGTGTATAGTGTCATGTTGTAACTCAGACACACATGGGCTTGAATCTCAGCTCAGCCACTAGTGGCTGTGGGGACATCTCTTCCATTCTGAGTCTAGCTCAGCCGTGGGCAAACTACGGCCCGCGGGCCGGATCCGGCCCGTTTGAAATGAATAAAACTAAAAAAAAAAAAAGACCGTACCCTTTTATGTAATGATGTTTACTTTGAATTTATATTAGTTCACACAAACACTCCATCCATGCTTTTGTTCCGGCCCTCCGGTCCAGTTTAAGAACCCATTGTGGCCCTCGAGTCAAAAAGTTTGCCCACCCCTGGTCTAGCTTTTCATTGATTAAATGAGGTCAGTAGCCCTACCTCACAGGGCTGTGTAGGTATAATCCCCTTCACAGTGCGTGGTCCATTGAAAGTGTTCAGTAAATGTGAGTTTTCTGTCCTTGATTGAACTCTGACCTTGGCCTTCAGAAATAATCCTCTGAGGTTGGTGGTATTATCCCCATTTATTGGATGATGGAACCAGTGCTTAGAGATGGGAGGGGACTTGCTCAGGGTCATGCAATTAGCAAAAGCGTTGAGCACCTGCCCCCTGGTGTTTAGTGTGCATCATAGCTACTGGTCGAACAGTCAGCCAGTCACTTAGGCTTTTATATATATAGATAATGCTAACTGGCAAAAGCAGGTCATAGCTTAATTTTGACCCCCACAACTGCTATTATAAAAACAAAAGCCGTTTCAGCATGTGACTCTGTACTGTGTGTGGGGGATGTGCACGTGTGTGTGCAGGGCCGGGATTATGGCTGTTCTTTTTAAAGTTCCTTAATGTCCTATTGTCTATTCAACAAAAACAAAACCATGAATAAAATAATCCATTGTCAAGACTGACAACAAAGGAAAAGCAGGTGAAGTGATATTATCTGATGCTGCCTATTTGGATTTGAGAAGCAATATTAATACAGTAGTTAAAAGCCTGGGTTTTAAAATAATCTAGTTTGATTCCTGACCTTACACTTGTTACCTGTGTGAATTGTGCAGATGATCTCAAGTCTCGGAACCTCATTTCTAAAGTGGGGAAAATAGGTAGAGGGGGGAAGGTAGGGAGAGATTAACTGGGGAACTTGCATGCATAGATGCATAGCCCACGAACACAGACAATAGTGTGGTGAAGGCCTGGGGGAGAGGTGTGGGATGTAGGGAGTCGATGGGGGGAAAAAAGAGTGGGGGGACGACATCTGTAATATTTTCAACAATAAAGATACATTTAAAAAAAACTCAACAAAAAATAAAGTGGGGGAAATAAAGGTCCCTTTCCAATGGGGTTAGCATAAGAATCAGTGAAGTGTCACACACATAGAGCGCTGAGCATAGTGCCTCGAGTGTCCCAAGCATGTGGTACCTGTGAACGGTCATTACAGGTGCTCAGTTTGTGTTTCGGATGCTCACTTGCTGGTCCTCCTGCAGATAACTCTGAAGGAGATGGCCATGATGACCGGGGACCAAGACGACGAGGAGTTTCTGCAGCAGTACCGGCAGCAGAGAATGGAAGAGATGCGGCGGCGGCTCCATAAGGGGCCCCAGTTCAGGCAGGTGTTTGAGATCCCCAGTGGAGAAAGGTTTGTCGACATGATTGACCAAGAACGGAAAAGCACCCTCATCATCGTCCACATCTACGAGGATGGCATTCCGGGGACCGACGCCATGCACGGCTGCATGGTCTGCCTGGCCTCGGAGTACCCCGCGGTCAAATTCTGCCGGGTGAAGAGCTCGGTGATCGGGGCCAGCCGCCGCTTCACCAGGAACGCCCTTCCTGCGCTGCTCATCTACAAGGGGGGCGATTTGGTTGGCAATTTTGTTCGCGTCACTGACCAGCTGGGCGAAGATTTCTTCGCTGTGGACCTTGAAGCTTTCCTACAGGAGTGTGGATTGCTCCCTGCAAAGGAAGTCGTGGTGCGGACGTCTGTGCGTAACTCCGCCACCTACCACAGCGAGGACAGCGATCTGGAAATAGACTGAACTGACTCTGGTGGCGTAGATCTCTCATTGTTTGGGCGGGAAGACACATCTCTGTGCTGATTTTTCTTCCTTCGTCTGTCTTCTGGCTTTGCAGCTATTCTTTGTAGTCCCTTTTGTTATATGTCAAGTCAAGAATTTCTTAGATTAAATCAGAATGCCGAATCATCGTGTGGCCAGCAATAAAGCGACTGAAAATTGTGTAACAGGGAACCAGGCTTTTGAACTGTTTACTCCAGATTCTCCAGCACGACATCCTTGTTGCCTCCACTCACTGTTTCCAATGCATCCTAAAGACTGTGTCTTGGAAACTGTCGTCAGATGATCTCAGAGGCCTGGCCAGGGCTGGGAGTCTAACTCTATATAGTGTGTCACTTGCCACCTAAATAGTACATTTCCTTCATCAAATGATTGTAAATTATATTTTAATTGTAATCAGACCCACAGTCCAAGAAGGCAGTTAAATATTCCCCCTGAGACCCTGTCCTCTATTTGGGGTCTTATTTTAAGGTTCTAGACGATGTGCACCTGCCCCATCAAGAAAGAGGGTGACCTTTGCTGCTGGACCCAGGTGCCGCCCAAGCACAAAGTCTAGAGTAGGAGGAAGGATCCATGCTGACCGCCGTGGAAGGCCAGTTTGACTTACAAATGAGAGCTGGGTGGAGCTGGAAAGCCTTTTTAAAGGAGGATCATTCAATAACATACTCATCTCTTTCTCTTCTATTTAATAAATTAATTTTTTGTTTAATGTAGATTAAAAAAAAAAACTTTCCTCCCAGGGTGTTTTCTTTGTAGGCATTTTGTTTGTTAAGACAATGGGATCATTCTGAACATACTGTTTATAGTATGGTCAGCCAGTATAGCAAACCGTTTTTCATGTTACTAAATACTCTTCTACAACATTTTGTAAATGGCTGTTGATATTCCATCGTATGGGTGTGCTGTAGTTTGCTTGTTGGTTGTTGCTTAAAAAGAAAAACAGCACAGAATTTTTATTGCAAATCCTGCTGTCACTCACTAGCAGATGTTCATTGTAGAAAATGTTATAAAAATGAATTAAGTTAAAAATATTTTTAAAACCTTATAATTCCACCAACCAAAAATAATGCCTGATATCATTTTACAGGTATCTTTCTAGTCTTTTTGTGTATTTATAATAATGATTGTCATGTATTTTTTCCTCTTTTTGCTTTTAAAAAATGTAATCTGGAATTGAATATTAGCTTTAAAATTCTCAGTTTGGCTTTGCCTGGCCATTTAAGAATTGACTAACTATAAGATGGGTCCTGAAAATATCTGTTGTAGTTAATCAACAAAAAGAAAGTGCTTGGGCCCTAACTGGTTTGGCTCAGTGGATAGAGTGTCGGCCTGTGGACTGAAAGGTCCCAGGTTTGATTCCTGTCAAGGGCATGTACCTTGGTTTCGGGCACATCCCCAGTAGGAGGTGTGCAGGAGGCAGCTGATCGATGTTTCTCTCTCATCGATGTTTCTAACTATCCCTCTCCCTTCCTCTCTGTAAAAAAATCAATAAAATATAAAAAAAAATAAAATGCTTGGTTTTTCTGATTATAAAAGCTCATTGTGCCTGGCCAGTGGTTGAGCATTGACTTAAGAATGAGGAGGTCACGGTGCGATTCCACTCAGGGCATGTGTCGTGTCCGGGTTGCAGGCTTGATCCCCAGTAGGAGATGTGCAGGAGCCAGCCGATCAATGATTCTCTCTCATCATTGATGTTTTTATCTCTCCCTCCCCCTCTCCCTTCCTCTCTGAAATCAATAAAAGAAAAGCTCATTGTAAAAGTGTGGAAAGTACTGAAAATTATTAGAATCAGACAACTTGTCAATGTTCTAGTTTATTGCCTTTCAGTCTTTCTCATTGTATTTAATAACATTGAGAACTTATTGAATTTAATTCTGTGTTTTGTTTTATTTAATACTATATCATAAATACTTTGACATATAAAAATTCTAAATAATTTTTAATGGCTTCATAATCCATTATTTGGATATACCATAATTTATTCACTAGTCCATTATTATTGGATATTTAGTTTAGAGGCCCAGTTTTTTGCTAAAACACTTAGTATTTTGGATCATTTAGTATAGATTTCTAGAAGAGGAATTATTGGATAATGAACAGGAATGTTTAAAAATACCTTTCACCTGGCCAGGTAGCTCAGGTGGTTGGAGCATTGTCCCATACACCAAAAGGTTGTGGGTTCGATTCCCAGTCAGGGCACAACCGTGTTTGATTCCTGTTTGGGGCATGTGTGGGAGGCAATTGATCAATGTTTCTCACATTGATGTTTCTCCCTCTCTCTAAAAAAAAATCAATTAAAAAATAGCTTTCACAAGACACCTTTTGGTCTAATTGGAAATGAAAATATATTTTGCTTTCACAGAACCTTGACTTTGCCTTCAAGAACGGAAATTATAAAAAAAGTGAACAAACACGGTGTGGGGAAATCCTAGCATTAAATCACCAACTCAGGTGTAGTGCAAATAGCACAGGTTTTGGAGTCGGATCAGGGTTCAAATCCTGCTGTCACTCACTAGCAGAATAGCTTCCAGCGAGGTACCTAGCCTTCCTGAAACTCAGTTTCCTCACCTTTGCAATGGGAGCAATATCTGTTTCTTAGGTGGTTCTGTGACTGTTTCCCAAGGTGTGGTCCCAGAGCAGCAACTTCACTGGGGAACTTGTTAGAAATGCAAATTCTTGCCCTCGCTGGTTTGGCTCACTGGATAGAGCGTCGGCCTGCAGACCAAGGGGTCCTGGGTTTGATTCCGGTCAAGGGTACATACCTTGGTTGCAGGCTTCTCTCTCACCGGGGGGTGCCTGCAGGAGGCAACCAATCGATGTGTTTCAGTCTTTCCCTTTCTCTTCCACTCTCTCTAAAAGACCAATGGAAAAATATCATCAGGTGAGGATTAACAACAACAACAACAAAAATACACACAAAAACCCCCAACAACAACAAAAAGAAATGCAAATTCTCAGGCCTCTCCCTGGACCTACTGCATCAGACATTCTGGAAGTGGCCCAGCACCCTTCTTAGAAGCCCTCCAGGTGATCACGAGGCGGGATCAAGTTTGAGAATCATGGACCTATCAATGAAGGCGAGTGACGGCATCTGTCACAGAAGGGTTGGGAAAGGAGAGCACTTACTCTTCCTGTTCAATATGATTCTCCTGGTTAGCCATGGCGTTGTGGGAAGGAAAGACACTGCTATCGGCCTCTTGCACACTGTCTCAGTAGTTGTCCAGCTCTCACTTTCCTCTGGAATGACAGCCTCACTGAGACGTGGACTGTTTTCCTGCCTGTGTGGCATACCCTGTGTTCACTCTGGAATAGGCTGTACCAGCTCCGTGGGCAAGAAACTCACCCCCTCCATGCCTGTTTCCTTAAGTGAGGACAATCGTAGTGATTATCTCAGGGTTGCTGCAAGGATTCATTCAATGAGCCAAAGTTCTCAGCATGGTGTGGCACATAGTAAACGTCCCATAAACGTCATCTTTATCACCATCCATTCTCCACAGAGCCTGTATCCACTTATGAAAAAAGAGCCCAATCCAAGATCCTGGATCCCTTTGGACTGCTTGGAAAACCCCACCTAGACTTCAAAACTCAGTGCAAATCTCACATCCGCCCTAGCTGTTTTGGCTCAGTGGATAGAGCGTTGACCAGCAGACCCAAGGGTCCCGGGTTCTATTCCAGGTCTATTCTGGTCAAGGGCATGTACCTGGTGGGGCGCGTGCAGGAGGCAACCAGTTAATGTGTTTCTCTCACATCAGTATTTCTCTGTCTCTCCCTCTCTCTTCCACTCTCTCTAAAAATCAATGGGAAAATATCCTCAGATGAGGATTAAAAATAAAAGAACAAATCTCACGTCTTCTCTGGGCCCTGAGTCTTTCTGGCGGCTTCAGAAAGAAGCAGTCATGTCATTGTGTGTGCTCCCACAGGTTATGGTGACATTCGTTAAGAAAAGTGTTTGAGGACTCAAAGCCTTGGTCTCTTGCTGTCTGTTCCTTGGTTTACCTACCTGGACAGTGGGAATGACAGAGGTTGGAAGACAGGTCCATGAGTTACCACTTAGCGCTTTGCTTCACACATGGAAACGTCCCAATTCGTTATCTACTGCTGGCCTCGTGCTATCATTTTGTATTTAATTTAATGAAAAATGTAAAGTTTTCCCTAAGTATGAGAGGTGAACGCCCTGGTGGTTGGAACAACCTTGGCTCCCTTTCCTGTAGGGTAATCCTATCTTCAGCATGTGGGGTTGCCAAAGTAGAATGTAATTGTTTACATATCAGACTATAAAGTCCTTGGGGACAGGGACTGTGCTCATTTCTGGTCTCTGATCTAAGTTGACATAAGTGAATGTTTGCTGCTTAAGTGGGGAAAGTTCCCTCATAGGTCAGAATTCATCGCCATAGGGAAGAAGGCTATCTATTATATTGCCTTTCCGGGAATGGAGGAGTGCTACCTACCTATGCTCACTGAGAACCAGATCACAAGTTCAAGCTAAATCCCAAACCCTGCCAGAGCATGTGAAAATGCTGGTTATAACCAGATGTGACCACATGGTGGAAGCAGAGGAGAGGGAACGAGTAGTTTTATTAAGTAACTGGAGCCAAAGACTGGATTTTGGGCCTGAAGATGATTATGTCTAGCAACATATAGAAGTCATTTTATTTATTTATTTATTTATTTATTTAATTTTCTTTTTTTTTGGTTCATCCTCACCCAAGGATATATTTCCATTGACATTTTAGAGAGAGGGGAAAAGAGAGGGAAAGACAGAGAAAAATCACATCAATTGGTTGCCTCCTACACAAGCCCTGACCAGGGCCCAGGCCAGGGAGGACCCTCCAACCAAAGTAGGTGCCCTTGACTAGAATCGAACCCAGGACCCTTTGGTCTACAGGCCGATGCTCTATCCACTGAGCCAAACCAACTAGGGCTTGAAAGAGAGAATTTGTTTTTAGGAAACAGAACCAGAAAGTATTATATTCACCCACTTTAAAGAATGAATAACAAAGACAAATATTGTTTGGTAAGTACTACATATATACACTCTTATAGTATGGTCAGTTAAGTTTGAGAGAACAGCTGGTCCAGGAAGAGAAGAGAAAGGCCGTGGGCATGTACCAGTCCCCAGGTTAAAAGTCCCATTATTCATCTTCGATGACCTTTTGTCTCTGTCTCACCTGCCTGAACTAGTGAGTGACTAACATATATTGAGACTTACTATGTGCTGGGCTGTATGTGGGAGCCCAGCCAGCCCTTCGCACCTCCGCCCTTCCAGCCAGGCGTTATGCGTTCTCCACTTTCCGTCCTTGGTTACCAGTGTTCTCTCCAGCTAGTCTTCAGTTGATTATGCAGGGTGTTTTTTGTTTCTTTTTCTTTTTTTTGTATTTTAGTTGTAATTCCTGTTTGGTCCTGGGAGCGAGTCTGTGTAGCACCCACTTACGCCAGCCATTTTTAAATCTCCTTTTCAATAGTGCCCCGTTGTGGACACTCTGGGAAAAGCCCCCAGTAAGGGTTTAGTCATGATAACGCCCTCTTGCGGATATTATGAGAACAGCATCCTAGTGATGAATTCTAGAGGTCTGAAAAGAAAACCCCATCCTAGATACTCTGAGAAAGAGGATTGGTGTGAAAGATAATATTCTATAGCTGTTCGTTGGCTGGATTCTTATTTTTCCACTGTTCATTGACTACTTTAGCAACCTGATTCATTTAACAACTCTGAGCCTGAGTTGCCTCATCTGTAAATACAAATGCAGGAATTTCCTAAATGTAAATCAGTGGGTCCAGATGATTTTTTCCTTTTTTCTTTCTTCGGTTACAAGGAATTTATGCATTAGTCAATTATTTTCCTCTCTTGTGCAATTCATGTTGGTACAATTATATTTTTCATACTGATTTGTAAGATTTCTTTGTACATATGGACATATTTGCCATATATTTTATAAATATTTTAAATTCTTTGTTTAAATTTTTAAAATCGTAAATTTTTTATGGCCATAGAAAAGCTTTTAACATTTTTTATTTTTTGAACCATTTAAAAATGTGAAATCCATTCTTAGCTCATTTGCTGCACAAAGGTAGGTGGTGGGTCAGATTTGGCCTGTAGGCATAGCTTGTACCTGAATTTAAACCATCTCTGAATTCCTGGAATAAATACCTCTTG